AAGGGATCCGTTTTGATCAAAAATAGTATGTGATAAGGCAAGATTATATTCTCTTGCATGAGGTAAATCTTGGGATCTAACGCCAGGGCAGAATTTTATTCTGTAACTAAACACTAACTGCAATTAAATATTATTATACATGAACTGAGCTTACTGGCGAGTTTTTTATGTTGTTAACAGAATACGTGAATTACGAACAAGGTAAAGCTTGTGGGGATGGCACAATATTATTGGACAATGTTATTTGCTGTAAGTATTACCGCACAATAAATTAAAGTAATCGCGTGATTATCCAAGTCAGTGTTCAGAGGACTCCAAATAAAACTTTTTCTCAGTAGCGACCTAATTTAAAATAAACGGTAAAATACACTTTATACAAGCACTTTTTCCAAATAACGAGTTCTTTTATATTTGGCAGTGAATTGTCCGCCTGGGAGCTACGGAGACAGCTCCACAAACACATGCAAAGACTGTCACTTAGGATATTATCAAGACGAGGAAGGCAAGCCCGAGTGTCAGCCATGCCCCAAAAATTACAGCACTGCCATCACTGGAGCTAAGAATAGAACAGATTGTAGACGTATGTTCATAAGAATTTACTATTTTGCCTTTTATTTTCCTATTTTGTGCTATGTGGTCAGGGACCCATTTCCTTACGTCCCAGTTACTTTACGGACTTGACGCCATACTTTGAAATCTAAATTGACGGAATAGTAGGTAGCGCGATTCTTAGCTCAAAAACCAGGGCCCAGTTGTATAAAGGGTGGATAACACTATCCAACGGATTAATCGCTATCCAGAGGATAAGTGATAGCAAAACGTATAGTGTTTTCCACCGGATAGAGATTTATCCAGTGGAAAGCGTTATCCGATCTTCGAACAACCGGGGCCAGGCCTTTCTATATTATTCCCCGATATTTCTTATGATCAGAATTTGAAACTGTTTAAATGATGAAAATGAACTCGGCAAACAGATACCAATTTTTCGGCAATGGTTCCAACTGGACTTTCAGGAAACGGACTCCAGGTCCAGGAAATTATTGAATTGGACTTAATTGAGGAGGAAAATGAAGATCAGGAGTAATGATGATCACATCTTCTATTTATCATGAAAAAAATTATAATGGGTTATTGGCGCGTAGCTAACCATAATTTGTCCTCTTGCGCATGCCCAACGTTAAAACGTTGTGTTGATTTGGTAGTCACGTGCACTTGATATAGCAACACTGGTTCATTTTACACACAGTTAAAAGTACCTTGGCGAGTAATGGTTTAAGGTGGGGTCTACGACAAAGACAGTAGTTACAGAGCTGTTCCTCTGAAGCGGTGAAGTTGAATTTTACACCATTCGATTTTTTTACAGCTATCTGCAGACCAGGTAGATATTCAACTAACAATGGGGTTTGTCCGTGCAAGAGGTGTCCTTATGGAACATACCAGGAAATTGAACAGATGACATACTGCAAAGCTTGCCCGATGGGAACTAATACAACAACAACTGGAAGGACTTCCATCGATGATTGTGTGGGTGAGTATTAGATGTATAGAGAGAATCAGTTTGGTAAACTTTCATTCGACTTGCGCTATCCTATCCACTGTTATAATCCATCCAATATTTTCGGTCTTGCACGAGCGTTTTGTGACTCAATTTACCCCAGCTGAAACTGGGGAATATCTGGTGATATTCTTCTAACGATGATACCAATTTAAAAACTTTGCGTCCGATGGGGGTGCCACATTGGAGCGATACGAAACATTTACCTACTCGCTACATTTAAGTAATAAAATGATTTTTTTTTATAAAAAAAGGTCTCTTACATTTGTTCACAGCCAAAGCTCAAATCATTGGTACAGTGCCCAGTTCAGACTTCTCCGTCAAGGAAAATGATACTATTTCTATTGTTTGTAATGTCGATGGCAGTCCAGCTCCCACTGCTACATGGACTAAGACCACTGGTGAGTTTTGCTCTATACTAACAATTACTTTTTATCGCAAGGTTTGGGAAAAGCCTAACCCTAAGCAATTTTTGAGGGGGGGGAGGGGGGTCGCATTGTTTTTGGGGGAACGGTGCTAACAGAGTTTAAAGGGGGGGGCCTTAGAATATTGACTGCCGATGAGGGGGGACAGGTAGATTTTATCTTATTTTATTGTGGCATAGCCAAAATCCTTTCACAGCCAGGTGATAAATAATGACCGCTCCTAAATTTCAAATCATTTTCACACCATATGAGACCTTATGCTCTTCACAGTGATGTTTGAGAAATTTACATTTATTATTGAACTTTATTTTCAAAACATAGTGCCTGTTTTTGGTATCCTTACAAAATTTATTAAATTTATTATTTCATTTTTCGGCCAAGAAAATGCAATTTCAAATTTGAAAAGAATACCATGAATTTTTATTGTTAGGTGTGTGATGGGATATTCTCGCAGTCAAACCAGATATGAAGGGTTGTAGACTGCAATTTTTACGAAGAGTTGTCTCGACTTAAAACGCCGCAGTTAATAACTGAGCTTGTTCATTGTTGCCCTGAACGTAGAAACTTTCCGAGAGATAAATAACAGATGGTGTCCGACGGTATTTTAAAAGCACAAGCTTGATTTTCAGTCACTGCATTTGTTACAAATATCTCACTAAAAACTCTCGCAAATTTTGCCTTCGATTGGTAGAATTACACGCGTGATGACTGAGAAGAATTACAGCTTGGAAATTTTTTATGCCGAACATAATGTACATTTGTTATCAGATGAAACTTAACAACGACAAGTAGGAGTAAAAGAAGCGGGTGCGCAAAAAAGGGCGTAAGCCTCGCAAAGAGAGAACGAAGGTGCCATTTTCCTGGAAACCCTGTTTTTCGCTTATTGTCTCTTTCGTGTTCGTTGTTCGCAACCCCGCAACAGGCTCGATTTCAAAGAGATTACAAAGAGGAAAAATAGTGATAAAATTTGCCAAAGTTCTGTTAACATGAATATCTTTCGTATAGGTTCTCCGCCTTCATCGGACCGCGTAACAGTGAATTACATCTATGACTTGGAAGCGAAGCTTACTGGTGTTGAGTACGTCATAACTGCAGCGATTGCCTCTGATGCGGGAACTTATGAGTGCAGGGCTTCCAACAAACTTAACGTGGTTACCAAAACGATCGCCGTGTCTGTTACATCTGCGGCTTGAGTCAGTGACTGACAAGGTATGAAATTAATCGTTAACATATTAACTCTCAAGATCTGACTTAAAGTTTTACCAACTTTTTGCAATCCATTTAATTTTAAATCAGCTGTGAGAATTTTTTGACAAGTTCTGGTTGATAAGTTTCCATATTCTCATTTCTGGGCTGTTAAATAAAGCAGTGACATTGTGTGGAGAAGTTACCTTGCAAGCCATACAAAGAGAAATCTCCACAGCTTTTGCTTCGACGAAATGCCAGCGCTGAAAAAATCACCACCAAACTCTACCTGCATTGATCAATCTCTAGTTGAAATAATTGAGGTGTTGAACATTGGACAACCTCGTACTGAGGTGTACCCGGTGGTGAACACGAAAAATCTGGGAACGAGCTTATCCAAAATGGTGGAAACGGTTGGAGAATAAGCGCAGGTGTTCCATCACTTCGAGGGAACGAACGGGAAGCCACTGTTTTAATGAAGTTTTATCAAGGTCTATTTACCAATTCGTTATTCATAAATTCGTGACAATCAGATCCCTTCCTGAATCATGCTTGTTGGTGTAATTTTCTCAATTTTTCGTTCTTGTTTCAGTTTAACCTCGACTCGAGGAGAAGATATTTAAGAGGATCAAGTTACAGTTTAAGATTAGAAAACATGTTATTTCATTAATAATTGACATTAAATGAAGCTTTTAGCGGAAAAGGAATAAACGTTGTAAAGCATAAAATGTTTGAGGTGCAAACAAATCTCATGTGTTTTATAGTACAAAACTCCTTTCCATGTCAAATCCCTAAGAAGACCTCTCCGTTTTTCACCTTCCCGCTTTGCCTCGCCCTGTGACGAAATGCCATAACACCCCAACTCGTGTTATCTTTAAGCTGAGTAGCCTCGCCGTGTCGGATTGACCGAAGTCGTTGCCAACTCGTCTCAATGCAATTGACATTTCAACTAATTTATTCATTCCTTTTGCGTTCAAATGGTTCTGTTTCTTTGCAGTTAAAATTGTGTCTATTAAGCGAAGGATGTTGCAGTGCTAAGCTAGTGTTGAAGCTCTTTCCTTCATTTTTTCAATCAACGCGCAATGGGTTTTATTCATGTAAACCATTTATAATCAATGATCCATCCGCTTTCAAACTTGAAATAGTGAGTATGATGAGAGACTCATTATTTGTGCGTTCGCAGAAGTACGTTCGGTTACTGGAGCGGCCAGCTCGTGATACTACACCGCTGCACAACTTATACCTGCTTAAATGACTGGCTTAGAAGAAATATAAGCACCACGCATTTCTATTCCTGCTTTTTCACAAATGAAAAAAAATATTAGCTTACGAACAATAACGCGCGTGTGTTCATATAACAAGTCGTCCAACATGACGATAGAAGATTACGTTATTTGAAAAAAAGGTGCATATGTACTTTGAATGTAAGATTTCAAATGCCAAATGAAATTTTTAAAAAGTCCTAAGTAGAAGCGGGATTTACGGCCGTGCAAAGTTCGTTTTTTACAAATTAAAAAAAAACCTTTTGAAGTCAGCTGTTGCTAATGATGCTAATTGTCGCGCCAACATTAAATGTCTAGCGCACAACTTAAATTTGCTGCATTTAGTACAGTTGAAAGCACATCAGTTAACACAAAGACATTAAATTTACAGGTGATTTCTATGATTATGAATGATTTATTTCTTACCGCGCCCAAACACATGCTGATGCTTTGATTGGCTATTGGACGCAGAAACACAGCCAGTTAGAAGCCCAGCCACGACAAACCACTCGCCAAGGCGCACAATTCTCCTGCTCAATAAACTTAAATTGAACCTCGGTTTAAAACAACAGGATAAAATTGAAGGGTTGCTGACCCTATCAGTGCGCTAAATCAACTTGGGGACTCACAACGATTTCAAACGCAATTTAAGTTTCCAGCCGATCTTGGCGTTAGAGATGTATTTCCTAGCAGCCATCATTTTTGCCATAACCTCGCTGCCATCAACAGATGCGTTTTGCGAGCGTCTATATAAAAATCCCTACTGGAGCCCTAAAAGTTTAGCACAGAGAGCTCTCGACGCAGACATTGTTGTTTATGGCAAAATTGCCGAAAGTCCATGCGTAAAACCAATCTTCAAGTTTGTGAACACAACAAATCTACCGACTCTCTCAACCAACGCCACAAATTCTTCTAGCAGTGTTCAATTGACACTTCCCAGCAACACCAGCAACATTGATATGCGCAACTCCACCGATGAAAACGCGACAGATATTTGTTTGAGGCGCGAGTTTTACAATGTGACGATGAATGTTTCCTGTGTCATCAAAGGAGGAGCTGTTCCTTCTGTCATTCATCTGCGTTCATTCGGGTTCGGTCCAAACAAGTGCACATACTTCACAAGAGGTTTTACTTATTACGAAACAGTCCAGTCATTCCATGTGTACAAAGGACAAAACTACCTCGTCTTTCTTGGGAGGTAAGTGGAAGAGTTGCTCTAAAAAAGCTTTTGCTTCGTGAACGAAAAAAAAAAGGCGCTAAGAACATCTGATTACACACAAAATCCCAGAAGAAAGTTGCATAACACTGTCTCAGAAGTCAGTCAATTTTTGTCCCAAGCTCGTAAGAAAGTCTCTCTTGATTTTCTTTCACTTTTCCCTTCTATATATTTCGCTTCTACAAGGGAAAAGGTAGTTTTTTGAGATATTGGCCGAAGAGACCTTCTCTAAAGAAATGTCTTGTTCTCAGAGTACTTTTGTCTAGTACAGTTTTAATCTCAGCCAATGAAATATTTTAAACAAGCTTCAGAATATTCACCTTTGATAAATTCCTTTAAAAAGGGTTGTGTCAACCTCTTTTCTCCTGCCTTAGGTAGTTTGCAAATAAATTCTTCAATCAAATATAATCGCAATAAACTGTTGCCAAAGTATTCATTAGATTACATCTTAAACATCGGCACTTACCTGTAGTTTTCAATAAAGAAGATATTCCACCTGCCAGACTTATGAATCATTAACAAACTTGCCTTGATTGCAATTTTAGACAAGAATAATGCAGTGACGATGAATATGAACGGCGATGCTTGCTCGTTTTGAACTGGTGGGCGATGTGAGCGCGCGAGAGGTCCACAAGTGTTCCGGCACGAAAATGTCAGACTCTTGTACGCTCACAATGAAAAAGTTTTTACTTAAACCTCATTGATATTCCCCCTTCCCATCACCCCACATATTGATTTTTTTCCCTGTTTTCGCGCTTTAATTAGAAGTATGAATATAAGTGCGTAAATTTCAAGAGCACTACGTATCCTTTTATCTCTTTCAGGCGCAAAGGCAATGGTGATTCAAACAGTTTTTGGCCACGTGAAATCAATCTACAATCAGCATCCACGGAAATTATAGATGAGAAGTATCTAAAGCCTGTTTTCGCGGCAGTTGGCGGTCATGCGCACAGCCCTGAGGGAGTGGATGAGACTCACAGCATTTGTGTACCGTATATTGGCGGTGCACCGTCACACTACATAAAACATTCGTTTCTATTGATAGTGCTTGCCTGTGGAATTTTTTTGATTTAGGCCGAATAATGTATTGTTTCCGGCGAAATGTGTGTTTTTCCACGGGCCACTGAAAGTTTCTGCGAATGACTCTTTACTCTTTCTAAGCAATCAGGGCGAGAATAGGCAACTGTTTATAGCAAATTTACCATTAAATGCTAGTAAAAAACTTCGTTTGTTTAAGGTGCAAGAGTCCCAAATTGACTGTTTGTGATAATATGAAAATCTTTCTCCTTTTAGCGTGACTAACAAGACCATCCAGTGTTGCTTTTCTAGACAAGGCTGAAATTTAAAATTTGTCTTCCAATCAAAAGTTTAAGACTATTAAAAGTGACCCGTCGTAGGCATCTATGAAGTAGAGTCTACTTTGCAAACGCAGGGTCTAAAGTAGAAGCTATTTTTGCCAATTACTGCCATAGACGTTTTGAATATGAAATTTATGAACTGTTTATCAGATCTCAGACATCAAAAGTTCATGTACGCACAAGAAACTGTTTGTTTGATTTTTATTCAATTTTATAATGAAAATAAACATCTTATTAGTTCTCATAGACAGACAACTTTAGCTGTACCTATGATCATATTATGTGATGAGGATCAACAGTGAAGCTGAGCAAAAAGAGGGGGAGAGGGTGGGGAAGTGGATAAATCACTTTGACTCCTGGATAAAAAAAAAACGTGATCTGCTATTTCTCGGCCATGACAAAGAATTGAGCGAACCTTCATCAGCTGTGATGCTGATAAACAATGTTGTACATGCTTAACGTTAAAAAAAAATTAAAAAAAAAGGAAAAAACATCTTTCACAGCCCGAAGATGAAATGAAAAGATTGTTTAGAATAAGTGCCTCGGAGACAACTTGGATGGATGTTAATATATGTAAAGGGACACACCGAGAAATGGGAAGAGTTCGAGAGAAAAAGACAGCCACATCTGTAAATTAGTGCCCAACAACTGCTTTATGCTGTGGGTGAACTATGTGTAGTTCGTAATATCTAAGGAATAAGAAAAGACAAGAGAGCATAATCTTGAGTTCCCTTGGAAAAGATTACTAGCAACGAAGAGAGAAAAGACATCACCATTAAAAGAGTAACTGTGAATCTCTAACAAGAGGGTCCTTTCCGTAGATATGCAATCGTTACCCTACATGAACGACATAATAACCGTCAGGAGCCTCAAAAAAGTGTGAGCAGCTAGCAGAGTGCTGTACATAAAGGTTATGTCGACCCCAACGCTGCTCTATACAACGCATAACAGACGACGAACACACTCCCGGTTGCCAAGCAATATCGTTCGGGTCATGCGTAGTGGACCCGAGATCCTGTGATAGCGAATGCCAGCGCTAGCTACGCAAACTGTGAGACGTAGCACATGCAGACAGCGAATAAATAATTATTCAAATATTGTAAACAATTCTTGCCATTCTTTCCTCAGAAGAATTGTAAAGAACTCCACTAGGTTACTTCATTTCTACACTACGTGAAACGAAAGATAATTAACTAAAATAATTGCACATTTACGATTCTCGTTTTAATTTTTTTCTAATCACCTAAGGATTTTCACAACAATTGTTTGATTTAAAAAGGGAAGAAATTTGTATCTGTAGACGTGAATATGGTTTCATTACGAATTTAAAAATCTTCCAGCAGGACAACCCATCTCCAGCGATCTTCTTCTTCATCAGAGTTACGCCGGTACAATGGCCAAACTCTCTTTTTCGCCAAATGCAATGAAATTCAAGTGCGCGCGCACAGGACAGGTTGTACATTAATGATTAAAAGTAAGCAGTATTAGGCGACGCCTCAGACAACAGGTGACTTGCAGATGCGAGAGAGCATCGCCGTGCGTTATGGAAATGTAAACAGCTGAGCAGATTGAGTCAGAGAGTGCCGCAAGCTAGTTACAAGAAGAAAAAAATCAAGATCTTTATTTGGCCAGTGACGATTTTACTGTAGAGTTTCTGCAACCTCACAGTCATAGAATTAGTCACAACAAGATGTCGATAAGAGCTGTGGCAGTTGCGTTTACGTTATTCTTCGTCGCGTCTTTGCTGCATACCAGCGACGCAGTTTGTAAAAGTCCACGAGGGAGCAAAACTTGGAGAAGGAAGAGCTTAGTGGACCGTGCTATCCAGTCCGATATTGTCATCTATGGCGAAGTTTTTAACAGCCCGTGTTGGAAACCTGGCTTTGTAAAACCAACGAATGCTCCACTCACGACGCCAACTCAAGCTCCAAGCGGCGTCAATTCCACGAATACAACAAGCAACACGACAGGGTTCATTACGACTCCTTCGCCACCGAAGCAAGAAAATGCAACAGCCAACACGACGACCCAATCTATTGTGCCAACCACGGAAGTCCCGTACAACTGTAGCACAGAGTACTATAACGCGATTATCAAGGTTCTATGTGTGTTAAAAGGAGGCTCAGTGCCTCTACTTATTAATCTGGAGGGTCTTGGTCATGGAGAGGGAGTCTGTTTGGATGAATCGTACCACGACCATCACGCGTATAGAATGTTGAAATATCTTATTTTCATCGGAAGGTAAAGTTTTGTAATTTTGTTAATTCCACATTTGTAGTTTTTACACTTTGAAGTTTCGTGAGAAATTTCCTCGATTTAATCATGCTCGCTTTTAATGCAGAGGAATTTTTGCGAAACGCTGAGAAGTATTTCTTCAATTAAGGTTTTGAGAATCGACAAAGAACTAGCGAATTTCATTTTGAATTTTTAGTCGCTCACAAAAGACTCCAACCATGATGATTCATCTACGTGTAGCTTTACGGAGACCAGCAGCTCTTTGACTCTACAAAGTACATCATGTTAAAGTTTTTGAGGAATGATTTTAATCGCTCTTCATGTGCTGTCGGTTACGTTGATGTTAACACTTATCAAACAACAAGCTCTCACTCCTATGTAATTTATAAAGGGATCGTTTTTTTTATTTATTTATTTTTTGTTTTTAGCCAGATAGTGAACAAACATCTGCTGCACCATAGGCTTTTTTTCAGTTTCAACCCGCTGAGAGCTTTTTGCTATAATGTTTTCAAGTAAATGAATTGTTTTTGAGAACGTGTGATAATTCCGTAGCTGCTCCTCGGCTTGCTCGTTTCGCATGATCGGTGAACTTACAATTTCTTCTAAGTTCATTTTATTCCTTTCGCAAAATAACTAGTTTCCAACGGACTTATTTCATTTCATTTTGCCAACAATTTGAAAATTTTCACGCACCAGTGATGTTTATAAACACCTACTGATAAGAAATAGCAATACTTTATACGTGCGAAATGGTCAAAGAAAAACTTGCAAGGGGCTCGAATTCAGCCATCTCGTTCTTGAGTTCAGTGCATTAATTATTAGCCGTCCCAGCTTCTTAGCTTACCCTGCCAACTAAGAGACCATCAGCAGTTGATTCCTTTTGAAGCTTACTCAATTCTAATTCATTCCTCAGGAAGGAAATCCCAAATGAAAAAGGTCAATTTAGGATCTATCCAGTGAACCACCAGCCTGCTCTTAAAGAGATCGATGATGAAACCGAGTTGGATCCTATCTTTGAAGCTGTTGGTCGAAATGCTCACTTGCCTAGCAACATCGTCAATCAGAAAGACCATGTCATGTGTAAGCCTTACGTGGGTTCTGCGCATGCGTGCCGTTCGAGTCTTCTAATGATCCTGTTCTTGTTTATCTCATATATAATGTATTGACTTTAAAGCTGCACATCTAGCACCGATGATTATTTTAAAGGAAAGGTTCCCGATCACATCACGTTTTGCGACTGTAAAAAAAAAAAAACTAAAATTTTCTCAATAAATAATGATCGGTTTTTTTTTCCATCATTTTGTCATTATCAGGGTGCATCACGAAGTTTCAACTACGTAATGTTTATCTTTTTCAGACGATGACGTTGAATATTTACGAGTCCCCTTTCGAAGTGCTATTGCGCATGTCCGATTAAGTCATTTCGTGATTGACGGGTTGTAAAGTTTTAGTTTGCATGAAATGAAGGCAGCCAATAGGATAGGACTGCAAAAGCTTAATCGTACATTCAGCCTGAGTGAGGGTGGGGAGGTTAGCTAAAGTTCCACTTTCAGATCGGTCGAATCTTGAATAAATCCGTTTAAACCGATTATACGCCACATTTTCTGGCGCATAAGCTCGACCAAAAGTTGGAACGCTTCAATCAAACGCAAAAGCTGCACGATCATTTTTTTGTTATGAAGAAATTGAATACAATCTATAAGGAGATGACACGACTGCCTATGGGGTTATGAAGGCAGAGCGCAACCCGGAAACTATCCTGATTACGGCTCTTCAAAATAGACAGAGACTCTTGAGGTTGAAAGAGTTAATGTTAATTTTTTTACAAAAATTTTTTGTCCACTATGATCGAGAACGTTCCACTTATCGCCAGACTTCAGCTCAGCGTTAAGTAATTCCTGATGACTAAGTCAACAGAGAGAGTATTTGTCGACCAAATCACGTCCAAGGTCAGCAAGTAGTTTTGCTCCAACCGCGCGACCAAAGGAGGTGGCAACTGAACAGTAGCGGTCTTTCAAAGGCCAACTATGAAGTATTCGCAGCAGCAGTGTCTGTACGTTCAATCCTTTATCCATCATGTACAGCTCAGGAATGTTAAAACAAAAAAAAATTAACGTTTGAATAACAATGAAAGCCTTTTAACTCTAAACAAATCATTGTTGACATTGCCAAGCCTGATCTCATCTTAAGGAAATACGTAACACCTTCCCCTCCAAAATTACTTTTTTCAACAACAGTCATTTTTTTAATTTTTTTTTCTTAACAGCAAGACTGGATTGAACTTTAACTTTCCAGCGGGTTCTCGCATCTCCCTTGGGGTGCTCGTCTTAAGTTTATAATTTTTAATGTTTAGTTTTGTTGATAAATCTTAACGCTAAAAACTTTCCACCGTTATCAGTTCGTTTAGCAGAGTCCACAGCCGTTGTTCTCCCTCTTTTGTTGTTTATCACTTATTTGCTGTCATAAATATAATCATATATATAATTTATCTTTGCATCGTTCTTATAGTTTTCGTTTCACATCGTTTAGGTTCGATCTCGCTGTCAAATTATTGCTCATGAATCGTACTCTATCTAGCAAACAAGTCTTTATTATTTACAGATTTAAAGATGCTTCCACTTTGTTTCTTTATACTCGTTGAGTTAGTTATGCGCAAAATTCCAAATATTTCAAGGGCTCTGTGGAACCTCAGCTTGTTGATGCCTAATTGTCGGGTTTTCAACACGCAAACTGTTAGTTTCTCTGCACCTTATCTGTTTCAAGCTGAGCGCTTTTCGTCCAAACACTTTGGAATAAAACTGCTCTGACGAAACACGAGACAGCCCCCTGTAACTTTGCGCAACATGGCTGCAATCACGAGGGTTTTGCTTTAAAAAGGGGCATTGTATAGCGCAGAGAATGGCTATACAAAGCAATTAATAGCCCAGAAAATGAAGCATTCATCGGCAAGGAACCTCGTCACTTAAAATGAGGGTTAAACATTACTTTCCACATCACGACACGGTCATCAAAGCATCCGAAGGGTGATAACTGCGTGGCTTTGAAACATTTAGCAATCGTTTGGTTTGGGTATTTTCACCCGTTTTATTGAAACTGTACTCGATCACAAAATCCATCTTAGTTCATGATCAGTCTAAACGTCTTCAATCCGAAGGTAAAAAAAAATAATAGTAAAATTGAAAAAAAGGGTATGCAAGTTTCCGAGAGCTGTTTTTAACAATATCCGGTTTGAGCCGCCAAGGCTGTTAACAAAACTCTGCAGTTTATTTACATACAAAATCAAAAAGCAGGAATTTAGGCTGTGGCTTGTTAATTCTACTTTAATTACAATTACATCTCGCGTGTCCGTTGCCGCCATTATGCGGAGAGTCTTTGAAAATTCGCCTTTAATATCAAGCCACCGTGAGATAATGACTAATCAAAATCTGATAATTTGCCCTCAAACTGACATTAATCCCTCTTCATAAAAAAACGGAATTAACAGATTAGTAGTGATTTCTTTGACGCCATTCACTACAAAGAGAGATATCTCGTAAATCTTATTACACTCACTTAGGCTGCTTATGGTTTTTTGGAGCCTTCTAGTTTAAGACCCCTTTAACTTGTCCAAATTGTTTTTGTTCCTCTGATTTCCGATGCTTTAGATTCCAATTATTAGTTAATCGTATCACATTAAGACCAAGACTATTCAAATTAGGTGGTTTCACGCATTTTCTTCTATGAACACAGAATCGTCGGACTAAGTTAATTGTCGTGGTTTCACGCAATCGTTCTTTGCCTTATGAAGATTAAGTGGAAGTCGAAGTTCAACTAAACAGTCTTTGTCAACGAATATCTCCTATTATTATTATTATTTACAGGCTCCTTAATGATTTTTAAACATGGTTATTTGTAAACAATAAACGATCAGCCTTACACAAATGTTTTTCAGCCACCTCGGTTAAAATGTAACTTCGAAGTTCGATTTCTCTTCTGCGTCAAATTAAAATACGTTCTTGACACTGAGTGATACTTCACCCTAGTTCTGTTCTAATATCTATTACGCGGATTTTCAACTGAAGCCTGTCTGTCTTTCATGACGCAATAAATATGTCTACGAAATGCATGAACAAAGTTCACATTCAAGGCTCTGCTCTCGTTCCGAAACGATGCCGGAGAAGCTCTAAAATTGCAGACCGTGAAATTAACTCTGTAATGATGTTTTTTTTCCTTTCCCACGTCAAGTTCACGGACAAACTGGCCGGAACCGCCGATTACACGTGCGCCTGACGTTGTAATTTAGTAAAACAGGAACACACGTGTTAATATACATTGTACATTTCCGTTTCATAGTGTTCGTGGTAATTGTGTCGTAAATGACACTCCAGTTGAAGTAGCATGTTTGCACTGAATAATGAGTCCTACTTAAAAATCGGTGATCTTTCCTGCTCGATTACTAATAGAACAGTTGATTCTGTGCGAGGAGCTAATGAATATCGCGTGGTAAAGGATCGTGATTCACGGCCTTTCGACGTAACATGTATCCAAACGCACTTTCATCGCTTTGCGTCGGAATTTGTTTACCTTGCCTCAGCAAAGCTATTATATCAAGTCTGGTGCCACTTCACCACCACCAACACCAAACCGTGAAAAATCAACACGAAACACCAACAAATATTTTGTGTTCGTACGCCTGCATTCCTTAGGAAGTCACTGTGTTGCAGAAATCTTACTTCCACGTGTCTTTTGACCGTCGTTGAGAGCAAACTTGATTCCGTGCGCTCGTTTGCTGACATATCACTCATTCTGGAGGACAGTTTTTTTGTTGTGCGAGTCATTTGTGTAGACAGAATGGTGACATCATGACACTTCTTGCGCCTTCTTTTTTTGTGCTTGTGTGATCTTGGATGCCGAATAAAAAGTCTCTCTTTATTGTAGCCTTTTCTAAAATGGCACGGAGGTAAAAAATTGGGACATCCAGGCAAAGTGTCTTCAGATGCTCCTATCGGTAAAGTTGCATTCTTTCCGACCATTTCCATAATGTCCTTTAGCACACGTTTGTTTTTTTTGATAGGGATTGTTGCTTCTTGAAGGTTATCCAGTTCGTCAACAAGGAATCGTGTTGTGTTGGTCTTTGAGCTAACAGCTCTACGAATGAATGCAATGTATGTTTTGTTTAAGTACGCGGTAGAATGCGTACACAGTCCAGCAAAGCCACTGAAGCCCGAGACATTGATAAATTGAGGCAGTTTTCCTCCCTTGAGGGTACAGTGCACTTCAAAGAGAGCGCTGTATAATTCCTTAGGGTCGTTCTTCGATTTTCGTCTGGGACTCGCCCGTACGGTTCCATAAATCACTATGTCAGCTTTTCCAACTCGCGCTGTAGCGTTCAGTGGAAACCAACCCTTTGGCGGCGAACAAGTCAACGCACCCAAAATAAAGCTGAGCAAAATCCCCGAGAGAATTACGGCCTGCGCGAGTTTCATTTTCAAACGCTGCAACAAAAGAAGTGCAAAAGATCCGAATCAAAGGTTGACGATCAAGCTCGCCAGGAACTTGTCATGTAAAGAAATTTTACGTTGTAGGAGAGTTTGAAGTTAACGCATCAAATGACATGGGACAGATTGGAAGGGGCGGCGCGAAAGCTTTGTGGAAAAACTCCGCGGGGACCCGTTTGAGTAAACATCTCGCAATAATTTGTTGATCCAGGCAACTAAACACTGCTAACAGTATTAACTTGCAAATGGCGTACCTCTTGTGTCCGAGCTGTTGATTTCAAATTAATTGTACAAATATTGATCAAGATTGGTCGTTTTCTCGAAACGGGGTCATCTTTAAAGTTGTGAATATGCCTCAAATACCCTCTCAGTGGCTCTGAATTGCACGGAAATCGTGTCGGAAACTTTCAAGATGTTTAACTCAAGGTTATCAGTTCTCGTGCACGCACTTGGGTCGCATTAAGTAATCGGATTAATCTGTTCGCTGTAAAGGGATACATACATGTGGACACATTGGCCTTTGTGTAATCTTCTCTAACATGCTACATCACTTATGTGTAGTGGTAAACGCATTGTTCTTAATTTGATCGTTCTGTGACTCAACTAGTAAATAGTTTGAACAAAAAAAATATGCAAATCAAAGCGTTTTGACGCGGTTCACTGAACGCAATGGAACTAGCACCTTAGCAGGACACGCGAACCCCAAATGACAATCGCACCTTTTTGTACTCTTCTTATCTGGGAATCAGAGATCATCCCTAAAAACCACAGACATTTCTACAGAGATAAGATTGAGCTGTTTTGATAAAAAACATCCCTTGTTCCTCTACCTGCCCTCAACCCAGTTGTTATCCGATAGGGATAGAAATGTTTCTTAAAGATAGCTTTTGTCTTCAACAAAACACACTTCATTTGTTGAAGAATAGCAGAACTAAATGACTTCGAGACCGGAAAAACAAACAGATTGAAAATAACGTCTATCGAAACAACTATCATCTCTTTTCTATCCTCGTCTTGCAAAATTTCTCTAGCAAATCAGCCACGTGAAATGCTTTAAATGTTTAAATGCTGATCAAAAGGGGCAAGAAGCGAGACAGGTGGTAACATCGTCTTAAAGTTGTATCCTTTTATCGCATTTCAACGTAGACTATCTTTTAATCAAAATTCCAAACATTCTAATCCGGTATTTAAGGAAACCAATGCAGTCGTAAACATCTCGGTATTTTGTTTAATAGCATATTCAGTTTCTAAAGAATTGCGTATTAAAAGCGCATTAAATTTAGAACAATACAAGTGGACCCAGCCTAAGCGGTTTTGTCGGATAAATAACGTCCTGTTTAATAGGAGTTCCTGGCAGGAAGCCATAGAAAGACGTAGTTTCCTTCATGGCGTGCGCATAGCTATTTATTTTGTGCCAACTTAATGGACAGAAAAAAATCTCTAAATATTTGAGCGGCTTTGCAGTTTGCACAGGTCAATTGAGAAAACAACGAAGCGATAACATAATTACATTCAGCTGACAAAAGGCTCTATATAAAGCTCAGTCCTGAGGCGTCTAAAAGCTCGCGGAAACATTTAATTAAAACCACTTAAAAGAGATATCCGTTTATCCCTTGATAAGAGCTTTTTCCTTTGTTCTCCATGTAAGATACCTACCGTTCTGCTGAGAGTCCTCGGCGTGTTGCGGCCGCATGATTAGCTCTCGAGCGGGGGGTAAACTGGCAAAATTTGCAGCTAATAATTGTACTTAAAAACTTAACACTGTTGAACATAAAACATGAGCAACTTGTCGATGACAGCGGAGTCTCACCGCGTTTTGATTGACAGTACATCTCTAAAGCGGTTACCCCCGAGAACTCCTTCAGTCTCGTCCCCACTTACTTAGTTTTTTTTTTCCTTTCTTACGAATCAGTTATAAACAGACCAGAGATATGTTGCTGTCAAGCTCAGCGACCACAAAGAGGTACAATTTCATCTCATGGATTTCTGTGTGAGGAATGACTGATCGTCCGACACTTGTCAGCAATACTTTGAAACCTTTCACAATTCTCAGCTTTCACTCTGTTTTTAAGTGACGCCGCGTGATTCAAACGAAAGCTGTTGATTAGTGCTTTCAAGTACAGGGCCATTTGCTGTACCGTACACCGTTCTTCTCTGATGTTTGTGGATTGTTTTTGAATAAAATTCTGTAGATGATATCACGTTCATTTGACCGATTTTTTGACAGCAGCACACTCTGAACGCTCCAAGAAACACTTAAATCTACAAGATCTAGTTTTCAATTCTCCCTACTGGCCACTACACATTCTATCAAACTTTGCTAGGAGAGTTTGTTGTCACGTCAGTTAAACATGTTTAAGTTGTTAAGTATGTTTTTCTCATCACTAGTTTGTTGAAGTATGTATAGATATTGTTAGGAGAAATTACAAATTTATCACTTTTGTGAGTAAATGACGCTAAGATGCCGTATCCTACTTAGAGGAGTACATAAAAAGTTTTTGGATGATCTTGCTTCGTTAACAGTTCAATAAAATTTGCTGAAAACTTATGTTGTGTGTTATTAGGTTTGTTATAGTTTCAGGCAACAATGACTGGGAAACATAGCATTAATACATTTTTCTTTCCATAAATGTTTCAGATTACATGGCATTCCTTACTCACTCGGGCCACAACTGAGTTGATTAAGTCGGTGAATATTATTGGTCGCCTTTTCAACTTTCAACTTGCGACAAGACTTCGTCATGGAAAGAATATGTGAAGTCTAACTCCAAGAGAAACGAAGGAAGATGGAACTTAAGAGAAACCATGACTGTCGCAGCTGCTTGGTTTCATTGACGTAGCCTAGCTTGCTACCTCGAGAAAAAAAATGTCAACAGATTAATTACTGATGCTTAATTCAAAAGTGAAATTCTTCATCATTCATTGACTTTGTTGTTAATTTTATTAGTTTTGTACTTGGCACAATCGATCATTTAAAAAAAAATTTTGCGATGCAACTGAAAGAGAGAATCTTATAGGAAACAGCGGACAGAACTTTCCCTTGATGATTTAACAAAAGCAATGTATCAATTACCCCTCTTCCTTTCCCGGTAGCCGACAATTCTGTGGAGCGGAAACGGTACATCAGTAGGAGAGAAGATACTAAACGAACAAAAACCATCGCTCTGGACTGAGCCGTCCAGTTTTTTCAATCTTCTATTTCGAAATCCAAGTACCAGGCTTCCATTTCTTTGCTGTATTTCCGTGTACACTTGAAATAGACTCTTCCCACATCCTCCAGCTCCCTCAGATCTTTCTCTGCACTGGGAGCGTCTGCAGTTTATGGTCCATGTTCATATTATATTCTGTGTTCACCCCTAAATATCTTCATGTTAGGGTTCACTCGCCAAACGCTGAAGATGGAGAAGAGAAGAATTTGGCCGCGACACGATCGCCGATACACAGTACGGGCTATGCTTTTCTAGGAATATGTTATTTGCGGAAATGCACTGGGAAATGAATTGATTAAATTACGAGCCGATGTCATTGCACGGGCGGCTGTGTCTCACTCTTGAGATTGGACGTGGAGTAAAAGAAGGAAGAGAGGACTCCTAAATGAAGCAGGCAACATGATAACAAAAATAGCACACCCCATGCACACCCCGGATATGATTCTTGCAATCTAAGTAATAACCGATTTGGTAGATATTTAAACGGTCTTCTACGATCGAATTTTCCTTCATCCCACTGAATTATATTTTGCACTGAATAATCTATGTTTACATGACATTTAAAAGCGTAGTTGTTATGCTGCTCTTAAACACCCCCCCCCTCCCTTCTTCCTCCGCTCCGCTTTCCTCCCCATGTTCCAAAGGTAACTGCTTTGATGAGGATGGTTAGGATAGTTGAAAAAAAAGAGGCTGCTAAACTGAAACTTCCGATCCAATTATGGTTTTGCGGTTGGACTAGTTTCAGCCCTTCCAATCTCATTGTTAAGGAATTTCTTTGAATTATAGGCTTATCTCTCTTAAAATCCCATTAAATAATTGAGTCTCTCAGTCTATTAGATTTTCGGCGGTTGGTCCTCCCAAACTGCCAGTTTCTTAGACCACATTCCTCTGCGCACAAGTAGTGATAAAAATATTCAAGATTAATATTAGTATATCATAAATACCTAGAAAAGAAAACGCCGTAAATAGGTGTCAAAGTGAAATTTTTGTGGGTTATTTTCGGTACACGGATCTCCTCGACTGGAGGAACTTCATGGAATTATTGGCTAATCTCACTTAATTCAATTGCATAATTGAATCTTTTGCTCTTCCGGAGTTTCGTGTAATATGTAAATCTAGACTACCAGTTTCTTAAAATAGTGAGAGGAGATGGTAAGGTCTCTTTAGAAAAGCGCGATACGCTGGATGATTGCGACCCTATTGGCTGAGTGGAGGTCAAAGTTTACAGTTTTCGGACAAAAAAAAAAGGGAGTTTTTCTCAGACTATGGTCGCAGCGGATTTACAATAATTCAATAAATGCCATGCATCCTGTTAAATTACAATACGATCAATAAGGTTGAAGCTCTTACTTCCCCCTAGGGGTATGCACCGGCCCCCACCCCACTATCCTCAGTCCCTACAAACAACTTCGTTGACGGAATAAATTCGAAAAACAGATGTGTAGTGAAAAGGCTGTTAAACTGAAACTTCCGATCCAATTTTGGTTTCAAGGGTTATTCCTGGCGCTGAGATTTCCGTCGTTGAAGGAACTTCTTGAGACAGGAGCCATTACTTACGGGCTCCTGCTTGAGATTATTAGCCGAATTTACTTAATCCAATTTCGGATGTAATTTCCTGAATTTCTCCGTTGTCTCTGCTGAAATATGAAAAAATTGATAACTTAGACAGAAAGCTTGATTTTAATGATTCAGTTCTTAGTTATTTATACAGTATAATCCCATAATTGTGAATGATCACGAAACTATAATTTTTTGGGGGGCTTGTTTCAAACCCTGAGCCGACAGAGGAGTACGTAGTGACTGAAAATTGGAATGCGCTCTTAATAAAATAACAACACTCTTTTATTCATTTTTCTTTAGCTGTAAATTAGTTCTTGTCAGCGGCCAAATATTAGATGAGCGCGAGAAGTGAAAGGATTTCTTGGGCGATGCCTCACTATATCAACAGTAAGTCCATTTCCCACAACAATTTGTCCTTTAAAATCTACGAGTTTTCATAAGAATGTCTTGCAAGGTCGTGGAAATCTAGGATCCTAGACTTTCTAGTTGTTAGAAAAGAATTTTTATCAGGGGGTAACAAAGCGACAAGCTGGGGACTAGAGAGGACCAGCGGAAAGCATCGATCGGTGAGGTACTGGGTATAACGAGAAACTGCTGACCGCTGAATTTAAGCTCCTTTCCGCTTTTGGTCGGACGTGTGACATTTGAAGGGAACATTGTGGGTTTTGGCCCCAATTTTTCGGGGCAAGGTAGAAAATCGGATGGCAGGCAGATAGAAGTGTATGCCAAGTTTTATTTTTCAATAGCCTATATCAATGGATGCAAAAACACAAAAAAGAGTCGACGTTGCCAAGCGAAAGGCTAGAGCAGGTGCTGAGACAATCTGTCATGTACTCTTCGATCATTTATTTCATTCAATTTTGTTATTTCTCTATGCCTTTTGGTTTTTTTCTTCTCTAGTTTACTATTTTCAAATTTACAATTAATAACTTCTTTGTTTTCTGTGTTTTATTTATAAAGATACTGAGTTTGTACAAAGCGAGGTCAATAAGTTATCGATGTTAATTGGCTGAAATGAAAGTAGAACCGCCGAAGTTTACATAAATTTATTTAGGATCTTTATAATGAACTTAATGCAGTTCATATTTAGAATATAAATGTGATTAGAATTAGCGTTGCAGTTCAGAATTTATTTACATATTTGCAAAATGTGTAGATCGCATTTTCTTAAGCTTGTTAACTCATCACGGGCGTTTGATCTTGTGTACTAGAACTGAAAGGAGAAAATGGCTGGACAAAATTAAATTATATGGAGACATTTGACACAAGTCTTGCAAGTGTCAGAGACAATGTTCCTCGTCTGGACTGCAATAAGATTTCAAAATCAGAGTTTGTAGAGAGATATGAAAAACCTAGAATTCCTGTTGTGTTGACACATGCGATGGATCACTGGAAATCAATGAGAAAGTGGACAACAGAGGTGATTTTTATCAAATAAAATACTTCTGGAGTTTTCTTCTCTGCTGGAAAGGTGTCAAGCCCTTACTAGAACCCTTTAATAAGCAACTATTTACTCAAAATCAAGCAGAAAGACCTAACTTTACCTAGTGGTCAAAACTTAAAATAACATTTGAATCTTACAGGTAAAAGCATTGGGACAAATTTGCATGATAACAAAATACTTACAAAGTATTTTGCTGACATACCCCTGACTCAGATGATGACCAATACTCAAGTTTTTTAACTTCAGTTATTACCAATATCAGTCTATTTAAGGACCTCTATCATGTGCTCTGATCTGTAGTAAACCTCCCTTTTTTCCTCAGAATATATCCCAACTTTCTATTTTTAACTGTGAAAGCAATATAAGCTTTCCTTCCTTTCTTAAAAGAGAGAATAGGCATGACTTGATCAATAACATTATTATTATTTTCTTGCTGTCATGTTGGTTTGTTCCGATTATGGACCATTCCACTTCCCCTTTGTGTTTTATGTTACATGTTGGTTTTTCATTGATATTTTATTCATATCCTTATCTATAACATACCTATATGTGATTTATAATCATAGAGACTAGTAAAAAAGTACAGACATCAGAAATTTAAAGTTGGTGAAGATGATGAAGGCTATGCTGTGAAAATGAAAATGAAATATTACTCTGAGTATATGGCACATCAAACAGATGACAGTCCATTGTATATATTTGACAGTTCCTTTGGTGAGGTAAGGTGATGCATATTTTTTTTAAAGCAGGCCAGTAGATAACTGTGTGAAAGTACACTATTGGTAGGGTTTTATAATTGTTTGTCTACCCAATGCAGACACTTCTGATGTGGTTGTAATTTTTCAAGTGTGAACAGCTGCTTTTTGGCAGGAACTGGGGTGAACTAGTCATATGACTCCACCCTTTGTGATTGATTGATTTTTATCAGCTGTGATTGGTTGTAGAACGTAAAAAGATGACCTCCATTAACTCAGATCATCATAAGGGAAGGTATTAATCCTTTATGCATATTCTCCATACTGTTCTCCTTACATTTTCTAAGATGTTGCTGAGAATAATTTGAATAACAATCAAGACTTTCTTTAGTTGGTTATCATTTCCTTTATTTTTGTGACCTTATTGTGTGATTCAGGAGTGATGTTGTAAGGAGAAATTAGATGCTGGTCACTATTAGGAGTCAAAGGGTTAACAACCTCACTACTTTATGAAGACAAGCAGCATGGTAACAAAACAATGTGAAGTGGCTTCATTGAGAGGCAAACAGCAGTATTTTTTTTATTTACCTCACCATGATAATAACTACAACATTTCATACAAATGTTACCAAAATTTGCAGATTACGTAATTTACCAACATGCATACAAATGTATGAAGACTAATTTTACACTAAAGGATAGGTCCAAACATGGTTAGACAAACAATTTGTTTGTTTTTTTTTGCAGCATGCTGAGAAGAAGAGATTGTTGATTGATTATGAGGTTCCACGGTTCTTTGCTGATGATCTCTTTAGATTTGCTGGAGAAAAAAGAAGACCCCCTTATAGGTATAACTAATAAATTATTATACTACAATATGAGTCAAATACAAGTATATGAAATTATTGTTGTTTTTGTTTTACCTATGTAATGATGAAAAGGAGTGTTATTGGTAAACATAAACATAAAATTTATTGTGGTGTATATTTGACAAATAGATTCCATGTTGCCATGCATGTGTTCAGTAATAAGTCATAGATGACAACAAAATGAGTTAAGATAAAAAAGTGATACACAAGTACACAAGGCATGGCTGAGTGTGTCATTGATGTTCTTACCACATTGTGACATCTTCTGTGATCTTATATGAAACAGACCTATGATAACATGGAATAGGTTGGTTTTGTATCATGATAAAAAAGTAAAATGCTGTTAATGATGATGTCATCTATGCCTCTGTCCTTAAATAGATCACAAGTACATGTAAGATCCAATCAAAATGCACAAATCAGCTTATAGAGTAATCAGCTGGTGTATTTCAGAGTTATCGATTTATTGATAGTTTGATGACTATATTCCACTAAATGATTACTTGGTAGAATAAGTGGACTGATGTTTTTTGTTCTGGGCTAAGTTGTTGTAGGAGCAGATAATGCTATTCAATGGATCCAGTGGATAAGGGCTAATAAAACATACTGCACTATCTACTGGATAGCGATTTATCCAGTGGATAGTCTTGTCCACTTTGTGAACAACTTGGGCTCCGGAAGTATATGTTCAAGCTCTGACTAAGTCATTGTGTTTTGAGTAAGATGCTCGACTCTCACTCCCCCCCCCCCTCCCCTCAGGATCATTAATGGATACCAGAAGAGTGTTGGGGAAGCTACACTGTATTTAGGGAATTACAGGAAAAGGGGGGCATTAGCAGAAGCTCAGCTCCCAGCCTGGGAGGAGTAGCAATACACTGAATTGCTTCAGAATCCAGCAGTAATGAGTCATCAGATTCATCAAGAGCTTCTGTAATTTGTTTTTCAGATGGTTTGTTATGGGTCCAGGCAGATCAGGCACTGGTATTCACATAGATCCTCTGGGAACAAGTGCATGGAACAGTCTTGTATCAGGACACAAACGCTGGGCACTGTTCCCAACAAATGTTCCCAGGGATCTTTTAAAAGTCACTAGTGCAGAGGGTGGAGATCAAAGAGATGAGGCCGTCACATGGTTCACCAAAATTTTTCCCAAGACTCAACTTCCCTCCTGGCCTGAGGAGTATAAACCAGTAAGAATACCACACACATTCTCATTTTCAGGAGATGATTTCTTTTAAAATTTAATTGTTCTTGTTAGCCCTTTAACTTCCAGAAGTGATTAACATGAAACTTCTCCCAATAATATCCATACATTATTCAGCAAACAGGCTATGAGAATATCAAACTTATCAGCTAGAAGCTGCTATCTTGATCTACCACCAAGCTCTCATAACTAATTTACAAGGAAATGATTATCAGCTAAAAGGGAGAATTAACAATCAGATCTTAAAAGTTGAAGGGTGGAAATCTAGTTGTTTAGATTTTAAATTCAGTTTCTGTAACCACATGCCCCTTGTGGAAATCAGCTTCATTGACAGGGCAAGCATGTTTTTTAAATAATGTGTTACTTACATAAGTTTTTTCTTCAACAGTAAGAAAGCTTATGATTACCTGCATACATTATTTTTCCCCTTTTAAGCTTGAGATCCTTCACTGCCCAGGAGAAACTGTGTTCATTCCAGGTGGATGGTGGCATGTAGTGATAAACTTGGACACAACAATTGCTGTCACGCAGAATTTTTGTTCACCTGTCAATTTTAACATTGTTTGGCACAAAACAGTCAGGTATTGCTTGTTTTGTGTAATTCTTATTGTAAAAATATACTCATAAATAGACCTTAATCAACCTTAATTTTATTAGCTTGTAAAGGTTAAAGGTAGTTATGTCTTTTGTTGGGTAAGACTGTGAATTCTCGAATGGCAGCTCGAGTGGGAAATTTCTTTTACATTGGTGCTCTTCCTTGGCAGCCCAGTAGATTGCACCAAAGGGTTCTGTGGTTGTTTGACAAATCTATTTCCTAGTCTTTTCTAAACTGAAAGTTTACTAAATGGAGTAATAATGTGCTGTGTGAAAAGGATGGCTACTTATAGTGATTTCTTGTTGGATGTGTTTTCTCTTTTTTTTTTCTGCATAATGTATCAACCCAAAAACTAGATGTTTCCCACAATCTAATAACTACTTTCTTAAGTCTGATAAGAATTGAAATATTTTCCTGATTTCTGTCTGGATAAATCTGGATATTCAAAGTACTAGAAACCTCAAACCTCTTTCAGTATGACCAGACAAAATGTTGCAGTTGAAAGGGTCTCAAAGCTTCTTCTTGCATGTTTTCTTATCGCTATTCAACCTATGTATGTTGTGGTTTGTAATTTTGTATGTTTTTTTCTATAAAGTTGATGATGTTGTGAGCAAAATTTGGTTATGATCATCAAATATTTTTTTTTTGTATTCTGTTTTTCAGAGGAAGGCCTAAACTCTCCAAAAAATGGTACAAGAGGTTAAAGGTATGTTGAATTTTAAGCTTTTTACGTGGGTTTAAAGTTATCTACACAGGGTTGACATTCAAAACCTCTTAGGTTGTCATACAACTGTTCAAAGGGCCTGGCTTAATCTAGTTCTCTCGGTTTTAGAGATCGCACCTCATCTCTCTTTTTTTTTCTTTTTCGTTAAAACTTCTCATAAGAATGTTAGCTGTGTTGTTTTAGTAACCCTCCCTCGCCACCTGCCATCAGTTGCTTTTTAAAATCCTCTCTTTCCTTTTATTTTACGTTCTTGTGCCTTTTGCTCGCACTCGACTCGCGCCAAATTCGTGATCCTCACTCGGCTGAGAGGAAACGGAAGATGAATCCTTCGGTGATCTGCTTGGGAACCTTCTTCTGGAGAAGGGTGTTTTGAGGGGTGTTTAGACAGATCCGCCACCCTCCCCCTCCCCCTCCCCCTCCCAGGGTACTAATATGATTCATTGTATTTTTATATAGAAAGAAAGACCGGAGATAGCAGAGATAGCAGACGGTGTGCATATTGATGAACCCACTGGTGTCCAGTCCGACTCGTCCTCGTCGGCCTCTTCCTCCTCGTCGTCTTCGTCGTCATCGTCCTCTAGTGATTCATCAGAGTCTGAGACAACAGATTCAGAAGAAGACAGGTGTCGGGAGAAACAGAAGCACAGCCCGTCACACGGTGACAAACGGAGAAGAAAGCGGTGAGTAATGAATTATAAGAGCCGTGGGTGTCCCAGTGGTCAGCGCGCTCAACTCCCGGTCGAGAGGTCTGAGTTCAAGCCTCGTCAAAATTCATTTTGTGAGACCTTGAACCATTCTTCTTGGAGGAAAATTGCCTAGTGAATAACTTGGAAGTCGAACTAAATGCGGATTTCCTTCAGCGCGAAGTCATTTCTTCTCGAATTTAGTTAGCTCTTCTGTTGTGTTCTGTTTGTTTTTGCCCATGCCAGGCTCTCGATTTGTGGATGTGGAGCAAAAAAGCGGGGCGAGCAAGACGAAAACGAGACTGTCACCCTTTATAAGTACCCCGCTGTTTTTTGTTTACCTCTTTTTTGCTTGTCAGAACTGACCAAGATTCTGTCCCAGGCTAGCGTCTACCTTGTGTATGTTTTGCATGAGACCTGAATTTGCAAAGGATTTTGAGAAAAATGTTGAACGATAACGGACCCTACAATTATGCCACGACCTTTTGCTCCGCGTTTTCAATTCGTGTGCCTGAGATTTTAAAATATTGATCTCATTTTTTGTAGGCCGAAGCAGAATTCTCCACCTTCATCAAGGGAAGAAAATTTAGGCCCAGGCTCCCCAAAACGTGGTAGATGACCGTGCTTAAGGTGAGTGATTAAAGTGTTAAACCCGACATTCTCACAATAGCCAATCAGAAATAGGTTGATATCAGAAGGAGCCAATCAGAGGTCAAAGTAAATATTTGTAACTTATATGACCTGCTTGACAGTTAGGCGTTCATTTGCATGTGTGACCACTAATGACGCTGGAGATTGCGCTACACATCAAAGCGCCATGTTGATGACCAATCGTTCACGTGGTATGAATACTGCTCTCTCGTTGGTTACCGACCTTACTGCCGCTCTACACGACTACGAGGTTTCAATCCTGGATTACTTCTGACATAGTAATCCTGGTAATCATAGCAATCCTAGTGATCTTTTCTTAATTTGCTTTGAGAATTCAAATGGGTGAAAAGTTCAGAAATCGTTTTGGTCTTTCCCATCATCTCGTTGCATGATCTCAAATGGTGCAGTAAAGCAACAAGGCGAGAAAGGTCCCATCTTCACGAACTGTTTTTTCCTCGGTATGTACTTTCTTTCTCTAGGTTGCTCAGGATGTTCCCGGCGAAATGAGATGCTCGCCCATACTGGAACGTAGAACATTTTTTTCAGAAGCTCGATGCAGCAATCGTGGACGAAAAGATTTCAAAGACGTCAATAAATTGATTCTATAAACAGCGAACGTTATTTTCTGTCTTTTGTTTTTCGCTTATGACGGGCTATCACTCTTTGACCCTCTTTTCTTGAAGTTGATTTACATAGGAACAAAAAGAAAAATAATTATTTGCTGTTTCATCCTACTTGGGTGGCAGTTTTGTAGTTGTAGAATGGAAACAAGAAGGCGATGGCGCGTCAAAAGGGTTGAATTTTAAGTCAACATTTTCCTTTCTATTCTTCTCATAGCTTCGCCGCTTGTTTTTGCGGCAGGAAACAATCACAAACCACCCACCACGCATCCGTTTTGCTTTTTCATTGCCACGGTGTTTGATGTGATGTTACTTAAAAGCCCGTAAATTTGTTCCATGTGGTTTATGCTTGCTGCTGGTGAGAAATTTTCCCCATTTTGATTCCCTTTCCCATCTCATCTCCCTTTCATCATCTAATGTGACAGAACTGCTTAAATGCTCGAGAATGATGTTTGTTCCTACTGTGTGTCGCTTTATTGCGGCGTTGATGAAATTTAGGGCTTGAAAGTTTTCAGGGTGCACTGAATTCATGCTTTCAGATTTGCAAGACAAATCTAGTCGTTAGATAATTTTTTTCGGATTGGAGAGGTACATTTGCGGTATTCACGTTGAAAAATTAGCTTTGGCATATTCGATCACGTGATGCGTTTGGACCAATCACGAGCGAGCAAAGATATTTGATGGATTATAAACAAAATCATTTCTTTCTCTGAAACACTGATTGACAATATCAAAGTAATTTTTTTTCGTTACTCACTTAGCTCCAGATAGTGACATGACCAAACAAGTCAGGATAACTTCTTTTATTTATTCTGTTCCTTAGATTTTGCGTCTGAACGTTTTTGAAAGAGAGCGTGGATATCGATAATCACCGCTGAAAATCTGCTAAGCCTTTCTGAGTTGGTCGCGTCGTCAAAAACATGTCACGGCCGAAGCCCTTTGAATTCAAGTGACCAGAATTGCTTCTCATATCTAAAATAAACAAGTTTAGCCAGAGACGTAGCTTACGTGTAGCCACACCCTCCCCCCTAAAGTGAAACGGAGGCAAGGGAGCTCCCCCGCCACCTTTGGAGGGGAGGGTGCGAGTGTCGTCCATTAGATCATAAGTATGAATCAATAAAAAGGCGTGTAAATTCAACCTGTTATATAATAGCGGAGCTCGCAGGGCGTAGCCCCATAATTATACAAAATAGTAGTAACCCATCAAGCCGAAAAAATTTGGATGTACGACCGTACGACCGACCGTACAAGGTGCGACTTTTAGCATGCGAGGCCAAATATACCACGGGCACTATCTTATAATCAGTCCTCTACACGGACACGGAGAAGTTGCGAATGAAAATCCATTAATATTACCACGCACTTTATCCATAGTAGGGGCTTTAGTTTTGTTGGAGAGACGTGCGGGAAAAAAAAATGTGAGCTTCGCTTTCAGGCTTGGCTAAATCTATATATTATCAGAAGCTTATAGCCCTGAAGCGATTATTTATGTCCGTGAGCTGAGCTTTATCAGAGCGTGAGACTAGACAATCAGAATTTACTTCCTAATATGGAGTTGTTTATCTTAAATGATAACTGAGTGCGTAATAAGTGAAACTTTACCGCGGTAATAATCGGGAATAACGTCAGGAATTGCAGTTTCCAGACAGCAAAATCGACCATACTTTAGAAAACCGACCAAACTTATGTTTGTAAACAGATACAAAAGTTATTACTGTAAGCGCTTTGCACGCTTTGCATGCTTTGCGAGTCCAATCTACGGCCAAGTTTATTGATATTCCTCAACACTTGAAGATATCCTAATATTCAAGCAACGGGTATTTTGCTCCGCAAGCGGGTCAGGGCAGAGCTAAACACCTAACTTGCAGATAACTGATGAAATTTAACATTTTAAGACCTCTTGTATTGAGCTACTGAAACCTAGTTTGTCTAAGTGGGAACGCAACCAACATTCAACAGGTAATTAACCCATTTATTTTGTAGCTAACGTACTATGACGCAAACAAATGAATAAAGGGGCTGTGTCTTTGGAAGAGTATAAGGGCCTATTTACACGGTACGACTTTGTCGCATGCGACAAGCTTACGACAGGCTTACGACACGAATTGTTTCGTGTAAATCAAACCTACAACTCGCTTACGACTCTTAAGTCATGTCGTAGGCCTGTCGTAAGCTTGTCGCATGCGACAAAGTCGTGCCGTGTAAATAGGCCTTAACAAGGTAATTTAATGACGTAAATTGGCCACCGTTAAGAGTTTCAAAGCTGACGTTCGAGCGTTAGCCCTTCGACAGATTGAATGGAGGAATTGTGGGTTGTGTGTGTATTTTATATGCAGAAAATGGAGTTACGCTGTTGGTAGGAACTTGGTAGCGAAAAAAACAACAATAAATTAGTTGAATTAATTGCGTTCGTTGATATCGTGGGGATTAAGTCTTGATGCCGATTTGATCGATTTTGTAGATTATGTGTTTAATTGAAGACGACCAAAAGTTCATGTTTTTAAAATTAACCCTTTAACTTAGCTTTCAGAAGTGATTAGCATGTAACCTCTCTCTGTAAAATCAATCCATTATCCAGCAACTAGTAATGAGAACACTCAAACTTATCAGGAAGAACTAACACCAAATTCTCCTCAGTAGTTTACAAGGAAATGTCTTGCGGCTGGAGGGGAGAATTAACAATAAGATCTTGGGAGTTTAAGGATTAAGCTAGCTGAGCTATATTTCACTTAATATTCTTATCAAGATAGAGCAGATTAGCTGACAGAACAATAAGGAAATATACTCAAATATGAAATTTTTATTTTGTTTTTTATTTTTTTATTTTCTTTAACAAGTCTTGAAACATCCAGTCAAGTTGTTTATCAAGATTAGATGGGATTGTTGAGCAATTACATGTGTATTCACTTATTTTTTATTTAATTTCTTGATGTGCAATTATTTAACTCACTCTTATTATTGAATATTAGCTGAATATCAAAATAAGTTACATTTCTTGCCAGTTTTAAACTTAACAAATGTTAGCGTCAACTTCTACATTTTGATTAGATCACTCTCAATTTAAACGGCAGAAATGTTTTTATGGTCTGAACATTTGCATTCCCCAGGTTTGAAATCTCAAATGGTTTTTGGACTTTAAAGCTTTTTTAAAAATTTGTTTTAATCTTTTGTTGTTATTGTTATCATAAGTATTATTATTATTATTATTTGGAAACAATTTTGGTGTAAATTTTTATCATGCGTTGATCCCAGGCCCCGTGCTCTTGCAGTAGGAGAGAGACTGTGGAGTAGTAAGGATACAACTGACTTAAATGACGCTACAATGCGACCCTAGGAGCACAGGTGTCGTTATGTCAGGTACTGACAACATTACTTTAGTGGCAAGCTCTTAAAATATTTCCTATTTCAATCTCAGAAACGCAATTTTAAAGCATTTTTCTTTTTGCTTCTTTGAAATCGGGAGACATTGATTCAGGCCCCAACCACACCAATGCGTGTTGTTAAGTTTCCGTTTTCGTCTCAAGCCAAACAAAGCAGAATGTTTTCACCCACACGAGCGTTTTCGTTTTGCTTTCAACTGTCCATATAACTGTCCATATAACTGTCAACGGATAGGTCACGCAACAACTGTTTGGAAGTGAGAGAGAACTGAAGTCAGTACCTAGTTCACGAGGCTGAGATAACCGTTTAGCTCCGACATGATTCACTCGACGTGGGTTGCGCGCAAAGCAAACGAGCTTGATCCTGCACGAGATACCGACTCTGAGTGAAATAATGAAGTGTGAATAAGTCTCTCTCATAACTATCTTTCAGGTTGCATATATATATATTATTGATTACTTTTCTTTGTATATTCTTCCTTCTTTCGTAGACGTAAAATACCAGCAGAGCCTGACGTGAGGTCTCAATATTGCAGATATGAATGGAGGGTTTAGTTAAATGGTGACTCAAAGACAAACTCTTAACCAGTTGCCACCATGATATTCTCTTGATTACCTCCTATTTGTTTGAATTTCGAAGTTAGAGGGACTTAGTCCAACTTGACTATTTTTTCTTGATTTGTATAGGTACAATCCAAATTACTTTTAATGAATCTTAAATTATTACCATACTTCACTGAATATAGGTGTGGTTTAGAAATGTAGCTTAGTGCGTTTGTGTCAAAAGCTCTTATGAATTATATCTACCTATCTGTACTACGAAATTTTAAGGATTTCACCTACAGTCGTTACACGTGGGAAATGACTGTATCAGAGCTTCAAACAAACCAAAAAAATTAAAAACGAAATCCAATCGGTTCGAAGAACTATTGAAGCATTCTTGTTCTTAAATTATTTTAATCGACATTCAAAAGGCAAGTAGAAAGCCCATTTTACTATGAAAAGTAAACGCTCGTGTTCGTTGAGATGTTTGAAATGAACGCAAACTGAAGGAGTACTTACGTTCTAGTTGTAGAAATTAACGCCAATTAGATGCTTAAATTTGTCAAATGGGAGAAATTAACGCAAATAAGACAGATACAAAGTAAAATTGGCATGTCAAATTTCGTGACTCATGAAACGATAATTTCCTGTATTGAGGTTAGAGAAAATGATGGTTCAAGGATCGCTAACAAGTGTACGAGCCGTTAAGGGTTTTCTGAATTCATATTTTGACCCATCTAGATTTATCGATCGTAGCGGAGCTCGTGCGCTTAGCGTAGCCCCATATTATAAGAGTAGTAGTAACCCATCTAGCCGAGAAGATTTACTTTGGTGTACAAGGTACAAGGTGCTTCCTTTAGCATGTAAGGCCATCTGCGTTACGGGCTTAAATCTAGCATTAACGTAGGTAAAAGGAAGACGGAGAATATTTTGCACACGCGCGATTGCGTGCGTAACTTTGAAGCCCCATACGTGTGAACGGAGTGCACCTTACGAAACTAATTCAGATACATGAATGAAGGGGTAAGTTTCTAAAGAAACTGTGGTGCTGCGTCGGTGGGAGAGTATAGCAG